TTGCCATCCACACTTTCATGGTAGCCCGGATGAATGGATTACAGTTGATCGGAGGGTCTTTGAGAGGGTTTGTTGTCCAGATTGCCTGAGCATTTTCCACGTCCCTCCAGAGTTTGTTGGGGCTTGTGGTGTGCCAGTCCATGTTGCGTAGTAGCACAGAAGAATCGATGGGAGGCCCACTCCCCCCATTCTCTTGGGGAGGGACAGGAGAGCCCGGTTCATCCTCGGGGGGGCCCGCTCACCAGGCAAACCCTATCATCGCAGTGGTGAGCAATCCAAAGAACTCTTTTGGTATAGTGATTGGGATGGTCTGACCACCCCCAGGAAAGGTTCCAGGGAGAGGGCAAAAAGGGGGGGACAGAGGGCACCGGATGTTGAACGGTCACAACAGAGCCCCATTGACCCAGAGCCTAGCAGTGGGTGTTGTGTAAAGGGAGGCAATCCATGTCAGCATGTTCGGTCCAAAACCCATGGCACACAGCGTTGCTAGCATGTATTGCCAGTCGACCCAGTCGAACGACTTTTCGGCATCTGTTGAGAGGAGGAGGGTTCTGTGGTTGGTGCTCCATGCTAAATGTATGACATTAAGGGCTCTGATGGTATTATCCCTTGCCTCTCAGCCTGGGATAAAGCCCACCTGGTCTGGGTGAACCAGGTGAGGCAGCACTATCCCCATTCGTTGGGCCAGAATTTTGGTAAATAGTTTCAGATCTGAGTTAAGAAGGGAGATCGGTCGGTAGCTCGAACAGTTGGCTGGGTCCTTCCCGTCCTTCGGTATCAGAGTGATGGTCACTGCCAGGATGTCCGTCGGAGCTGCCCACCCCCCCATCCCCCAGGAAGAGATTAAGGCTCCTCAGTAAGGGTGGCAGCAGGAGTTCTTGGAACTTTTTATAGTACACAGTCGGGAGGCCGTCTGGTCCCAGGGCCTTATTTGCCTTTGAGGCCTTTAGAGCTAGTTGGAGTTCACCCATGGAAATGGGGACTTCCATTTCGTCTCTCATTTTCTCTCATTTCTCTCATGGTCCTGCTGAGATATGTGGTAACTTTAGTTGCGCATCTTGTCGTAGCGGTGTCGTCGGAGCTCAACTGTATATTATAGAGGTCGGTGTAGTAACGGTGGAATGCATCCGCTATTCTGTCTGGGTGAGTTGCGTGAAACAATCTCCCTGTTCCTGGATTTTGGTGATGTGGGAGAGCCGCCTCTTTCGCTGTAGCATCCTGGCCAGCAATCTCCCACATTTGTCAGAGTGCTCGTAGAAATGTCTACGTGACCAGTGTATGGGGTGAAGGAGACCCTGGGAGAGCAGCTGTCGGAGAACTCGCCGCACCTCCAGAAGGAACTTGTAGGTGTCTGTCGACAGCGTGTTCTTATGTAAGCTCTCCAGTGTGGCCACTTGCTGTGCCACCTCCATGACCTGTTGTCGCTGAGCCTTTTTCCTCTGAGTGCAGTAGCGAATGAAGTGGCCCCGAATCACACATTTGTGTGCTGTCCACATAAGCCACGGATACATATCCAGTGTGTCATTCTAATCGAAGTACCGCTGCAGGGTCGTCCTGGCCTCTGCCATCGCCTCCAGCTCTGTTCATTTAGCTTCCACTGCCTGTCCCTTGGTTTGAACAGTGGGGATATGCTAGTCAGGATCGGTGAGTGGTCGGATCACATAGCCAGTAAAATGTCACTCGATTTTAAAAGGGTGAAGTATTCCTGAGAGATGAAGATGTAATCCAATCTGCTGTAGCGGCGATGCATCCCTGAGTAATACGAAAAATCTCGGTCTTTTGGGTGGGCTACCCACCAAGTGTCGGCAATGCCGGCGTTCCGGAGTGCCATGAGAGCCCTTAGCCAAAAGGGAGCAGTTGCCCTGGGATGTGTCCAGGCGCAGATCCAGTGCCAAGTTGAGATCTCCTGACACGATAATAATTCTTTCTGAGAATCTGTCTAGGGTAGAGAGAGTTCGTGCCAATGTTGGGTGCATAGATGCTCACCAGGGTATAAAGGTGTCCGGCTATGGTGCCCTTCACGAACAGGTAGAAGCCTTCCGGGTTGGATTGATGTTAAATTGAACCGTATTGGCGATTAGGATAGCCACCCCTGCCTGTTTTGCGTCCGGGCGATTTGCAAAAAATCCCGTGGGAAAACGGGAATCCCAGAGAGTGGGGATGCTGTGTACCCGGAGGTGTGTCTCCTGGATGAAGGCGATCAATGCCCTTGACGACCAGAGCGAGCGTAAGAGGTGGGATTGCCTTTCTGGCAAGTTTAAGTTTGTTAGACCATAGGCGGAGGGGCGCCGGAGTATACCCGCTGGGTATCCCGATGCTGGTCGTGGCAGAGGGGTGGGGGGAGGGAAAGGAGAAAAGAAAAAGAGAGAGAGAAAAAAATTTAAAAAGGGGGAAAAGAACAAAAAGAAAAGAGAGAAAAAAAAGAGAGGGGGAGGGGAATTTAGTAATGGGGCTTACAGTTCAACCTGTCGCACTAGGTGGGCCGTGGGAGTGGTACTGGCCAGGAACCAAGGAACCCCGACCCTCACCCGATATACCAGTTAGGTGTGCGGTTGGTGATGGAGATGTGTCTACCATCCAGTCACAGTCGCACTGTGTCAGTCGTCCAGAGTCCAGGACACAGTAGGAATTCTAGGTTCGGTCAACTTTTCGTCATCTGCCCCCTTCACCGATCTGGGTACTTATTAACATCCCTCAGGGATAGGTTTGCGCCACGTGTATTGTGGTAGGAAACTATAAAGTATAGGGTACCATAGTGTAGTGAACTTTAGAGCCCAGGCTCATTCCATGCCTCTGTAATCTCCTGTGGTGTCCCCTTAACAGCAGGCCTGTGTTTGTCCGTCCCCTGTGGGTCATAGGCCTCGGTACTGTGTCAGGCATCCCGAGGAACCCCCTGTGCCGGGTGGGCATTTATCATAACCCCCGTCTGTCTCCCGGCCACCCTGGTCCCTGGTCCCGCCTCTGGACCCACCCCCCCCGGATCCCCATCTATGTCTCCCCCCATTCCTGTGCTCATGTGGGACGGCATGCAAGGTAAGGCCGATTCTCATGGGGCCGCAATCGGGTTGCAAGGGGCCAGATTCTCTGTTCCCTATAGAGAGCTATGGGATCTGCAGGGGATGTGGTATATCGTGTGTGTGGCTGGGGCTGCAGTCGATCCTAACTAGGGTGGGTAGCCCCCTCCTCCCTGCACCCTCACAACTCCTGCCCCGCCAGCACAGCCATGTTCAGGTGCCCCCCTAGTTCATGCCCCCTATGTATGTCCCAAGTACCCATGCCCAAGTACCCATGCCGATTCTCATGGGGCCGCACCGGGTTGCAAGGGGCCAGATTCTCTGTTCCCTATAGAGAGCTATGGGATCTGCAGGGAATGTGGTATATTGTGTGTGTGGCTGGGGCTGCAGTCGATCCTAACTAGGGTGGGTAGCCCCCTCCTCCCTGCACCCTCACAACTCCTGCCCCGCCAGCACAGCCATGTTCAGGTGCCCCCCTAGTTCATGCCCCCTCTGTATGTCCCAAGTACCCATGCACTGGCAGGTGGCCACAGTTGAGTCCCTTGTTCCAGAGCCTCCCCTTGCCCCGGCATGACCCCCCACTCAAACCACTACCCTCACCCGACTCTCCCAAGCTCAAGTGATATGCAGCTCACCGGAGGTCAGTCACTTGCGACCTGGTCGCTCATTGTTGGCAGCTTTGTGGCTATAAGCACTAACCCTGATGCCCTCAGTGGGCCCCCTGCCCAACCTGTATCCTGGTTCCCCGGTCATCTAGATTTCGCAAGTAGGTTACCACCTCCAGGGGTGAGCAGGGGCTTCATGAGCCAGGGGCGTAGCGTTCACAATGGGTGAGCGAGTCCCCCTTGGGTTTCCTAGTGCCGTTGTCACGATTCGGGGAACCAAACACGCCAACACACACACACACAAAGTGCAGTACCGGACCTTAGAGTGGCCGGGCTAAGCACACAAAGAATAGTCAGGAAACAAGCCGAGTAAAGGGGAACCAGAAGACAGAATAACGATAGACAAGCCGAGGTCAAAGGGTAGGAGAAAGTCACAAAGTCGGATAAACAAGCCAGAGAGTACATAACCAGAAACACAAGTTCAGTAGTAATACTAGCAAGTAAAGACCACAACAGGGCAGAGAGGAACAGGAAAGGTAAGTATTTAAATCCATAGGTTAATTCTGATTGGATAATTTCCAATCAGAATTAACAATCACACGTGGGAGATATCTAAACCTCCCACTGTGATTGAGGCACTGTGCCTTTAACGCCAGGTCAGGTGACTGACCCTGGCGTTTGTTAAAATGGGCGGTCTCCCAGCGTGCAGCGTCATGCATGCTGCCGCTGGGGGACACAGAGGAAGACGCAGGCGGCATCCGTGGCTGGGAGGATGCCGCCCACCGAGCACACGCCAGGAAGGGGACCGCGGACGGCTGGAGGGTGAGTACCGCGAGCGGACTGCAACCTCCCCTCACAGCCGCCCAGGCCGCATAACGGTGCTTAAGCTGAGAGGGACAGCTCTCTATACTAACGAAGGGGCCACGGGGCACGGAGGGCGGTGAATCCATTTGGCCAAGCGGGGTCAGACTGCTGGGCCTCCATCAACGGTGGGCATATGGGTCCCATGATAAGCCAATTGGGGACAGCAGGGTGGGGGAGTCCAGCAAACAGTACTCACGGTTGGGCAGAGTCCAGGGACCATGAGAAGGGCACGCAGGGGCACGGTCTGAGGGTCCTTCTGGCATCCAGGGTGAGGCCCGAGAGGTCCTGGAAGAGCGACAGCTCAGCACCTCGAAACTGGATAGAGGGCAGATTCCTGGCCGCCGCCATGATCACAGTCAAGGAGTCTGGTCTGGCCTGCCCCAGTGTTCGAGGGGCTCTCTCCAGGCGGATGTCCTGTGGGGCTCCTGGTCCCAGTAGCTTCCAAAACAGCAAGGTTAGTGTGGTGAATAAGGGTTCGGTGTACGGTTCCGGGAGCCCCCAGGTCTTCCACCTGGCGTCACAGGGAGATTAGCATGTTTCCTTGCCTGGTCACTGTGGTCCTGGCTGCGCTGTGCTGTTGGCAGCACAGTCTCGCCTCCGTTTCAACTGCATCCACCCGGGCTTCCAAGGCCATGAGGTCAGTGCGGAGGCCCACCAGGTCTTCCCGCACTGCTTCGTGAATCTCCCGGACCAGGGTGCTGGTTTCAACTTTGGTGAGCATGGAGCCCCCAATCCTGGCCAGCAACGTCCTGATTCCATGGAGGGTATCCTCGTTCCCAAGGTCAGTCTGGCAGTTTTCTCCGCTGGCCGCGCCCATAGAGTCCGGCGCCATTTTGTCTAGCTGTAAGTCCCACCGCCGTGGACACGAAGTCATCCAGGGTACCCGTGCAGCATCTCAGGGAACCCGGTATTGTGGAGCCTGAGCTTCTTGTTCCATACCATGTCGGTAAATATAGGGATTAATGGCTGTCAAAATCAGTTTGGGGTGCGAAGCTCACTTAGTGTGCGACTTGCTTCATGGACAGCCAGGCCACACCCCCCTTACATTTCTTCACTGATTCATAGGTATGCCCCCTCTCTGTCTCTCCGCTCTACTGGTGATCTTCTCCTTTCTGCTGCTCGCACACTTACTGCAAATTCATGCCTGCAAGACTTCTCACGGGTGGTTCCTTTCCTTTGGAATAGCCTGCCTACCCCTGTCAGACTCTTCCCTAGTCTTCAATTCTTTAAGAAGTCCCTCAAAGGCCATCTTTTCAGGATTGCTTATGGCCTCCAAGAGTAACTTCTATCTCTCAAACCTTCCTCTCGCTTTCTCCTATAGGGCCACAGTCCACTCTCACCTCCAGCTGTGCTACTTTCCCACCATGTCTATTTGCTGTCTCTCTCAATACCCTTCCTATTGTGTTTTATATCGCACCTCCTCTAGACTGTAAGCTGGGTTTGAGAAGGTTCCTCAACTACCTATTGTTCCTGTTACATTTTGTTATTGTCTCATTTGATAAATTCCCCTTTTATTGTAAAGCGCTTCGGAATAAGCTGGCACTATATAAATACCAATAATAATAATATGACAGATCTATAGAAGAAACTAATTTCACGGGGAGTCATAATTTTATTGACCACTGTGTGGTGGTGTTGTTCTTCAAATGATAACAAAAGTTCACAAACAGCTGAATATGATACTTAGTGAGTTTAATTTGTCACGATAAATTTGCATGTGTCAATTGGAAATGATAAAGATGTATGGATAAAGAAAAACACATAATATTGGAAAATAATATATAAGAAACATTACCAAAAGTAATTTTGTTGTGTGAATAAAATGTATAATTGATCTATTATACAAGAATGTTTGAAATACCTTGCTGTATAGATTATGCCACTGCAGACTCACTGCTCAATTCTCATTTCACCATTTAGGAGTTAAACCACTTTGATTATGCAGTCCTGGCCTGACATCCCCTGTCTTTGAAACACAGCCATCCTAAACACTTCCGTAAAGAGAGATCTATTCTTTCTTTTTTGCACAGTGTGCTTAATTTAGAATTTCTTATTTCTTGTGACCTTACTTGACTGATAGAGCCTGCAGGAGCCTCGTGTGTGATTGTTGTTCAAGTAAAATAGCAGGAGGTAAGAACTTTTCAAGTAAACAAACAGTGTTGTAATAGCTAATTAAAATTGTTATAAAAACAAAAAATCATGGAGGCTGTGTGAGCCTCAGAAAGGGGAAGTATAGCTAGGGAAGCATAAACAGAAAGAAATGTGATTTAACTACTGATAGATGGGGTTATTCGTTAACCAGGGGCTTAAAATTGGTAGATCTATGCTACTAGCCAGACCTTAAAGGTTGCTTGCCATCTTAAGCCATAGCATACCAATCAAGAGAGAATTTCTGCTTGCCAGGGTAAATCTTCACCTGCCAGTGGCAAGTGGAAATTTTGAACCTTGCACTTAACACCAGTTTTGATATTTATGTACAAAATCTGGTGAAAATAACCAAATTCCAACTGCACTAACAATTCTCATATTTACTAAAGTCAAATGCAGTTGGCATTCAGTCAGATTGAACAAATCTGCAGCAATTGCTGATACATTCGAGGTCCATGTGGCAAGCAGGGCATGTCTATTAAATGTTTAAAACCAGCGACTTGGAAGCCATTACTACCCAGTAGCTACATTCCATGGTGAGAGGGCCTGCAAAATAATAGAGGGGGCGTTGTGCCCCCATCAATGCCCCCACCCTTGGCCAGTAGGTGGGAATATTTAATAAAATAAATGGGGGGCATTATGTCCCCCCTACCCCAATCATAGTCAGCATGTAGAGATATTATAAAAGTAAGGGGACCTAGTGTCCCATCCCCAGTCCCACTCATTGGGGACCCTGGTATTAATATTCAGGAGGGAGGACCTAATGACCTCCTGCCCTGGCCCCCACCCATTGGTAGTAGGTGGGGGCCCTGATTATAATGTTCAGAGAGAAGGACCTAGTGTCCCCCACCCAAAACACATAGGAGGTGGTTAGGGGTTCTAATAAAAGAAAAACAAGGGTGGGATGGACACACTATTATCTAGACTCCCCAAAGATCACTCAATGTCAAACCTCCAGGTGGCAAGGGCACCCAAGTCCCTAACCAGCTCCCATTAAAAGTAAATTAGCCTACCTACCATCCTATCCTAATCATACTGAAGGAGGGGGCAAAAAAGTCTAATAAATGTAAAATTACAAATTATACTTACCCATCAGAAGTTTTCTTTATTCTAACTCTTCTTGTCTCCAGCCCTAAAAAAGACAGAATAAAAATCTATAAATCCCTTTACTTATTAAAAAAAAAATATCCAATTTACAAAAAAAGAATGAAAAAAATTAAAAACATTTCACAATTAAATGAATCCATCTTCACTCCACGAGGAGTGTGACTTCAGAACTAAACACGTCACAGGACAGCTGAGATCAGAGGAAGGAGCAGAGAGCAAGCGTGAAGGAGGAGTTCGGCAGAAAAAGACATACATTGAGGACACACAGAAAGCTGTGATATTATCTGATTTTTTATTCGCTGTCTGTGAGTTTCTTAGTGCTCAAGAACTCACATTTTTTTAAGTTAAGAGCTTTTAAGATGTGTGATAAATATTTTGGCTTAGCAGTATTACGCTATTTGGATTCCTTTGTTCTCTCCCTTTGTTCAATGTGTGTTCTATGTGAGGTGGAGCTTCTTTAAAGGACCACTATAGTGCCAGGAAAACATACTTGTTTTCCTGGCACTATAGTGCCCTGAGGGTGCCCCCACCCTCAGGGACCTCCTCCCGCCGGGCTCTGGGGAGAGGAAGGGGTTAAACTTACCTCCGATCCTCCTCTTCGGCTGAATGCGCATGCGCGGCAGGAGCTGCGCGCGCATTCAGCCGGTCTCATAGGAAAGCATTTACAATGCTTTCCTATGGATGCTGGCGTCTTCTCACTGTGATTTTCACAGTGAGACGCACGCAAACGCCTCTAGCGGCTGTCAATGAGACAGCCACTAGAGGCTTTAGAGCAGGGGTTCTCAACCCAGTCCTCAAGGACCCCCTACCAGTCCAGGATTTAGGGATTACCTGGGTGTGTCTAAGGTGTTTAGAAAAAGAAAAAACCTTAGAGTCTAAGGTGTGTTTTTTTTCTTTTTCTAAACACCTTAGACACACCCAGGTAATCCCTAAATCCTGGACTGGTAGAGGGTCCTTGAGGACTAGGTTGAGAACCTCTGCTTTAGAGGCTGGATTAACCCTGTTATAAACATAGCAGTTTCTCTGAAACTGTTTCTCTTTATTAAGTTAAAAATTAAAAGTTTCTCTTTATTAAGCTGAAGTGGTCTGGGTGCCTAGAGTGGTCCTTTAAGGAAGATCTGTCTCTTATCAGTGGGGTCTTCCCTTACATCATTCGACCCAAGAGCCTGTTGTTTAGGCTCTGGTCCATGTGAGTTTGTTACCATAGGGGCTTGCTCACTGAGGGGTGTTTTTATTATGTTTCATATTTTTTGGTCTTTCTGCACCATGTGAGGTTTTCTATATTTAAATTTTAAACACAATTTGTGGAACATTTTTCTGTCTATCACATTTCATTATTTCTTTTCTGCATTCTTCCTGTCCCATATACTCAACCCATGGTACCTCTCAACTTTCTGTGAAATAATTCCATTGCTTGATTTCCTTTGCCTATTTTTAATGTTGTCTTTACTAAACATATCAAAGTATATAAAAAAAAATAATAATAATCTTCTGTCACAGTAATTTTTTTTTCCTTAAGCTAATTTAGGTTGTAACTCCATTCAGTACAATTAGTTTTAAAAAAATGTAAGTATAAAATGTATTTAAAAATAGGATGAATGTCTAGCACCTACGCTTAGGACAGCAACGCAATTTCACATATAAATTGCTGTTCCGAGACAGTGAGAAAATAATTTATAAATATTTGTTTGTACAGTTAGAATTCTTTATGTATTTGCTGTCCTTTACAGAAATTGTGTAGGAAAAAAAGGGCATTAGAGATTTTTCAGTTCTTTCATCTCAGTATGGTTCTGAAATGTTGGTATTTAAGCACAACAAATATTTTTATTTCAAATATTTTATAATTGATAAATACATTGTGTACAGGTATTTGTAGGGCAACTGCTGCCTTTTTCCAAGTTTATTTACCATATTTCATTTTGCATTTCTTTGGGCTGTGAGATGGTGATTATATAATTAATCATATTAAAGGAACACTATAATGTTAGTAATATAAACATGTTGGCTGTTTAGGTGATCGACCCTCCTTAGATAGCAATGAAAAAGTGAGTGTGGAGGCCGATGTCATTATGTTATAGACTAGTTTATGTTCCAACAAACAAAGGATTGACTTTACACCGTTCGAGAGTTATCTTGCCTGTATCACCCTTGTTCTGCTTGTTTCCCCTTTTTATATCTACCGAACACCAACCATCCCCCTTTTTTACTTCAAAGGAACTAATTAACTCAAGTGCTTTCCCTGGGTGGCCACCATTTGCATAACCAAACCCACGTCCTCTATTGAATGGCAGCCATTTTGTCTCCTGAACGTAGGCAGCGGTACCTGGTCGTCGAGCGCCTCGAGAACTGCTCCGCTCTCAGATACGTTAGGAGAGCACTCTTCAGGAGAAAGACAATACTGCCTGGGGGAGCATTCACTCTCTAAGAGACAGGGAAAGCATTTGTTGGTGTTTGCACAGGAATTCCTGAAAGTTGACAGGCCATTTCCTCATTCTTTTACATTGTGCAGAATTTATACAACTTCTTCTGAGAAAGTATACGGAGATGGACTTTCTGTCATTATTCACTGCTGACACTTGTCTAAGA